GATACATCTTTGATATATCTCCGCTTACAGCGACCGGTTGCTCTCTGAATCTGAGGATAACTCCCAACATGCTGTTCAAAAGGTCAGGACCTTTTATCCAACAATCGTTAAGGCAGTGTCCCTTGTATCTTGCTGAAGAATTAAATACGATTCTTACTGGCGTGCTCTTCTTATCAGGTCGAACAACTTCATGGTGAGCTATATAGTGAACGGGACCTTTGTAATCATTTATTTATTTTTCTGTTAGCTTTCGTGAAAACCCGAGATCTTCCATCTGCTCCATTTGTTCTTGATATGCTTTTGCATGCTGTAGATTCCCTTTCAATCGTTTTTCAGTTGCTTCCATCTTCTTCACAGCTTGTTCTCGGTTGTCGGGAAGGGATTTGGGGTCAGTTTTCCAAGGGTACGCCATTTCCCATCTATTTCCAATTAGCTTGCATCCTTGCTCGATTAGTTTGGTTTCTTCTTGCTCGATCTTGCTGAACTTTGGCATTTCAATATTTGATTGACTAACTCCCATTGCTTCGCTCGTCCAAAAGTCAGTGAGATCTACAGGTCTTGTATACTGGACATGAAATATTCTACTGGTTTGCTGCAAGCCTGGTATCGCTCCAAAAATAATCCAACCAAGAGGTGAATGTCTCGCAACAACGTTACCGACTTTCTTTGAATCTCCAGTATTTATAAGCGTGATCAATCCCAATAAGCATATCGATTGGGCCACATTCTCGGTAAATTTTCACTTCAGGGATTCCAATTCCTTTTGCCATTTCACCAATATTGATATTTGAAATGTCATCGCTAATATGTGGAATTCCAACAGCTTTGACTGTGAACTTCGCACCAGACTCCAATGACGCAATGGGAACTTGATATACTTTTGTCGCCAACACTTCTTCTTCACCGCCCACTTTTCTAATAGTTATCGAAACATCCTTTCCCTTTAAATCCAAATTCTTTGCTGTACTTGTGCAAATCAGACTTATTTGTGCTCCAGAGTCGAGTAGAATGTTCCCTTGTTTGTGTCGATTGTTCTTTCCAGATATCTTCACTGTTATAACTGGCAGCATTGCTTCCGTGTTGTTTTCTACCGATGCTACACCCACTGATGCTGCAGGATTTGAAGGATGCAAAAGAATATGATGATAATATTTACATTGAACGCCACTTATTGTCTGTGTACACTGCTTCCTTCTACTACAGTTTGATGCTCTGTAATCACGTCCGGCCTTCTTAAGACAACTGAAACAAGCGTGGTTTTCTCTTACTGTTTTCAAACGGTCCTCTGGACTCATGGACTTAAATTTTTCACATTGGTCTACCCAGTGCGTTGAATTGTCGCAGATCCAACACTTTGGTGGTTTTCCTCCAGATAGCTGATTGACATATCTCGAACCCTGACTCTGATTTCTCAGTGGAGCAGTTGCACGCATCCTCGACTTCATTTCCGTCTCCATCCAAGCAATGAGACCTTGTAAGCTTGCTGGCTTTTCATTCCTTTCCAACTCACGAGCCCAAATCTTTCTATCTTCCACACACATTTTCTGTTCTATTAGTGATAACATGTGATTGTTATCCATATCATGGGGTTTTCCCACTCCCTTCATCGTACTGAAACTACGCTTTACTAAATGCACCAGATCACAAAAGAGCGAATCTTCTCCTTCTTTCAGGGGTCGGAACTTTGACAGATCTTGGGTTACTTGGTCCGACACATATCTGGGGTCTCCATAGATTGAGTCTAAATATTGCCATGCACCATCATAATCTGTACCAATTCCTTTGATAAGCTCTAGGGGTTTTCCCTGCAAGCATGCACGAAGGTACGTCATTGCATCTCGTTTAGTGTATCTAGATTCAATAGCATGCTTAAAGTCATCTCGAAAAATACTGTACTCTCTGACATCACCACTAAATCGAGGCATTTTTGGCTTCTCCATTTTGAAACCACAAACAGGTTGAACATTTGAAATACTTTGAGCACCCTCACTTGAACTTGGACTATTGTGTTCTTGACCTTGGTGGGTTGGGGGTTGACCTTGGTGGGATGGGGTTTGACCTTGGTGGGATGGGGGTTGACCTTGGTGGGATGGGGGTTGACCTTCATGGGTTGGGGGTTGACCTTGGTGGGATGGACCTTCACCTTGGTGGGATGGGCCTTGACCAGACCCAGGGATACCGTCATGCTCTTGCTGCCCATTGTCACTAACAGTTGTCTCGGTTTGATTGGGCACTAAACCTGTTTCTGGGTTTGTTTCATTTTCAAACTGACCTTGTGACTTAACCTTTAAATAATCCTTTGTTCTGATCCTTATCTGCATAAACCTCTGTTGACAATCTTCAATCCATTCTTCCTCAGTTGCAAATTCTTCATCGCCATCCACCAACTGAATATATTCGTCGTGTTTTTCAACCAATTTCTTGTATAAATCTTCCAAATTAGCGAGTGATTCCTCAACTTCCGGTATAGGTCTCTCATTTTTCAATAAATAATCCAAGCCATTTCCTGCCCTTGTAACACTCGATTTTGCACATCTCCGCTTCTTTTTCGCTTCGTTTAACGCTTCCTTCGTCACCTCCGTCATTTTCTGAATATCCTTTAAGCCCTGGTCAGCTAGAAATCGAATTTATGGCTCGCCAGAATCAGAAACGGTATGTAAAGTGACCACAAATAATTTCCAAATATCGTATAATAATCAGTTTTAGTAGTTAGTAGTAGTAATTTTCGATCTAAAAGTATAAATACAAGAATTATCTACTGAATAAAGTAAATTAGTAATAATAAACAACATGAACTTACTTCTTTGGCCTATATCACTTTACAATACACCAAATATAAACCTATTTCTGAACGTTAAACCTCGAGTAAACAGCTTAAAACCAACGTGTTTATTTCCCGCTCTTTTCTGTCACGTGACTTTGTCTGTTCAAGACGTAATTATTTATCTATTTTTAACTTAGCGAAACATTGATACATAAACAAACTTAACAAATCGAGATGAATATTTATTGTGTTATGCCAAGCTCGGGCAAACTGTAAAATAAACAACTTTAGTCTCGAGTTCAGCCCTTATATTAAATTTATAAAAATCTAGCGTGCCAAAATAATAACGTTAGTCGTTGGTTTTAAGTACAAGGTCAATAGTAGACTTTTTGTTTCAAGTTGAACTGGCAATGTTAAAACTCAACGTTTATTTTAATTGTTTTTAATTTATGTACGTTGAAAGAGTAAAGACTAGAAAGAAATGTCGATTACTAAGAAATTTAATTTATGTTTAAATTTCTTAAAACAATTTCCTTGAGGAGGGGTTAAAAATTTTTTGAACGTGTAAAGGAGGGGTTGTGAGTTTCAACAATTGCTCAATAGAGGGTTTAGGGAAAATTATAGCTTGTGCCTAAAAATCATCCACCCCCTACAACATAAATAATGACCACTCCCTAAGCCTAACAGATTATTCCGGACTAGCTTTTACACCTCTGAGCTTATTACGATTTACGAATAAATCGATTTTTTATGCGAAATAAAGCCGGGAGTCAAATTATTCGTAATAATCTCAGAAGTACAAAAGCTTGTCAAAAATAATCTGTTACTTAATGACTGTTTACACAAGTTGTTCGTGACTCATTTAGGCCGCAGCTTATTTACGGCAATTTAAGCCGAGACGTATGATAACTATTTCAAGCTAGATTATGGACGACTCAAATCAGGGTTTATTTTAAGAAGAGTTTAGAACTGTACATATTAGGGATGTTATGAAGCATCGCGTGTTTGACTGGGTGGTCAAAGAATGTTTGACTGGGGTGTCAAAGGATTTTTTGGCTACAGTATATTTAACATTGTAAATTTATAGTTAACGTTGCAAATTATGATAGACTCTTGATTTGTATATAAGTGGCAGAATAAAGGTGTGATTGGGTTAGACAAACTCGATTCCGGGTGGGGAAGCTACAGGTAGGGGGTGTCCCCCAAATTTTGAATTTAGAGGCTCGTAAGTTCTGGCAAAGGTTAAGATTTGTTTCACATAATATAGTTTTAATTGTTCAACTCTATTTTCTTCCATTATTACATCCAATTTAATAAATTATATCAATATCAATCCGAATCAAGTATCAGTTCTCAGTTCGTTCTCATTAACACAACAAACACAACACCCAACTTATTCTCCCAAATCTAATAATTATCCAGTTTGGGTCATGCATGACTGATTTGGACGTCAGTTTTGACATGACCCTGTGTAGAATATTTTAGACTACTCTTTTTAGCATTTTAATTATTCCACTTTATTTTCTTCTGTTACTACATCCAACTATAATTGAGTGAATTATATCAATATCAATTCGAATCAAGCATCTGTTCTCAATTCTTCAACACAACAAACGACAACACCCAACGCCTGAAATAAATATTAAAACTAACTAAAACAATATATCTGCCCTGGCTAAAAGCCTTGCCAATAAAATTTATAGACAAGAAGTCTAATTTCCCCTCTATAAATTCTACGTTTTATACTTCAGACATTTAACACCAGGAACATAAAATAATCTCAGTCTATGAAGTGATCTACCATAGCTCACATACCAGTAAAATAATAGGCATGAGAAATATAAATAACTAATCTGATACAAATGCCAATGTATATTTCATATGAAACTAAACTGGAATCTGAATGTCCTATATATGCACCAACTCACTGTATACTCAAAGAGTTTGTCAGTTAACCGAGTTAAATCCGAGTCAAATCCGAGCCCGAGTCAACTTAGTACCCTAACCACACTCCTTTATAAACCCTACATCTAACCCTATTTGATTATGAATTTTATTCAATTTTGAAGTTTGTCGGTTAACCGAGTTAAATCCGAGCCCAGTCAATTATGTCTGAGTCACTGTTAAGCGGTCTTTGTAGTTCAATGACTTAGTACCCTAACCTTAGTCCTTAAACCCTATTCGATTATAAATTTTTTCAATTTTGTCTTTTTTTAACGTGACATGACAGACGTTTGACTTGGGCTCTGAATTGACTCGGATTTGACTTGGTAAATAGATTTACTCTATACTCAAAGCTGGCAACAATATTCAGATTGATCAGTCATGGGTGACCATGTGATCTTCAAGGTCTCTGGGAACATCAAACACCACATCGCACACACAACAAACGTATCCAACACCAGTTGGTTCTGTCGATTCCAGTTCTTGACATAAAGCACATTGATAGTTTCCAGCATTACCATGTTGCCTTGCCAAATGTTGAACCAATATCATGAAGCCAGACGATTGTTTATTACATTTGTTACAAACATACTTTCCAGTGTTTCTATCCTCAACAATATGTTCTTGTAATTCTTGCGGTCGGATAATCTCTCTGCCGCAAGTGTGACACAACAAATGAACCTTCTTGTGGTAATTAAGACTACTTGATTGGGAAAATTGTTTCTTGCAAAAATCACATTCATAAGGTTTGTCTCCTGTGTGTGTTCTTTTGTGTTTAGTTAGATTTCCTGATTCTCTAAATCTCTTCTTACAAACATCACATTCATGAGGTTTGTCTCCAGTGTGTGTTCTTTTGTGTGTAGTTAGACTACCTGATTGCCTAAATCTCTTCTTACAAACATTGCATTCATAAGGTTTGTCTCCAGTGTGTGTTCTTTTGTGTGTAGTTAGACTACCTGATTGCCAAAATCTCTTCTTACAAACATCACATTCATAAGGTTTGTCTCCAGTGTGTGTTCGTTTGTGTATAGTTAAATAACTTGATTGTCTAAATCTCTTCTTACAAACATCACATTCATAAGGTTTGTCTCCAGTGTGTGTTCTTTTGTGTTTAGTTAGATTTCCTGATTGTCTAAATCTCTTCTTACAAACATCACATTCATAAGGTTTGTCTCCAGTGTGTGCTCTTTTGTGTTTAGTTAGATTTCCTGATTGTCTAAATTTCTTCTTACAAACATCACATTCATAAGGTTTGTCTCCAGTGTGTGTTCGTTTGTGTATAGTTAAATAACTTGATTGTCTAAATCTCTTCTTACAAACATCACATTCATAAGGTTTGTCTCCAGTGTGTGTTCTTTTGTGTTTAGTTAGATTTCCTGATTGTCTAAATCTCTTCTTACAAACATCACATTCATAAGGTTTGTCTCCAGTGTGTGCTCTTTTGTGTTTAGTTAGATTTCCTGATTGTCTAAATTTCTTCTTACAAACATCACATTCATAAGGTTTGTCTCCAGTGTGTGTTCGTTTGTGTATAGTTAAATAACTTGATTGTCTAAATCTCTTCTTACAAACATCACATTCATAAGGTTTGTCTCCAGTGTGTGTTCTTTTGTGTTTAGTTAGATTTCCTGATTGTCTAAATCTCTTCTTACAAACATCACATTCATAAGGTTTGTCTCCAGTGTGTGCTCTTTTGTGTTTAGTTAGATTTCCTGATTGTCTAAATTTCTTCTTACAAACATCACATTCATAAGGTTTGTCTCCAGTGTGTGTTCGTTTGTGTATAGTTAAATAACTTGATTGTCTAAATCTCTTCTTACAAACATCACATTCATAAGGTTTGTCTCCAGTGTGTGTTCGTTTGTGTATAGTTAAATAACTTGATTGTCTAAATATCTTCTTACAAACATCACATTCATAAGGTTTGTCTCCAGTGTGTGCTCTTTTGTGTTTAGTTAGATTTCCTGATTCTCTAAATCTCTTCTTACAAACATCACATTCATAATGTTTGCCAACTTTGCTTCTATTGTGCGCTCTTTTATCCCTCTCTTCGTACTGATCAGACATGATTAGATTCAAGTTTTCCTTTTCTCACCACAAAAAGTTTTTTTCTTATTAATTTACAGTAAAAGAAATTAGAAAGAACTCCAAATTTTGAAGAATATGAGCCTTTTTGAGTCCGTACATTTCAATTGAAGTTTTTGTGCGCTAGATGATACCGAAATGGAGAGTGAAACCGCTGAACAGTGTGATCAGATTTTTTCCAGCTGTTATTTTTTTGCATACTAAACTTGGTACCACCCCACCCTCCGACCAAGCCAGCATTTTAATAGAATGTTTTTGGAGGTGACGGCCTCCTCAGCGCAATGACCAGGAATATGCATGGCAATTAACCGCAAAAGGTACAATCACAGGCGGCCTAGACGTGTATTAGTGTATAGTAAATATATCATTATAGAATATACTACACAGTAAAATTTGTAATGAATTTTATATTTTAAAATTATATTTACTTGCCTACTTTGATTGTATGTGATCGTCTTTTATTTCTGAGCGACATTCGATGCCTGCGACTGTCTTCATAGGTGATAGTATTGAAAGCAAAGGCTATTAAACGATTCCAGTTCTCAAACAGCCGACACAAACAATTCAAATCGAAAAATATCCCCTTCAAATTGCTTTCTTCGCGGTAAAACTTCGCCAGCGTATAGAATAAACACCCATCTTCGAACATACAAAGCAATATTACAGTAAAAATACAAAAAGTGTCCCACTTCCGCTTCTGTAGTTTGTTGTGATTTACTGTAATTTGTTCTGTTTTTCTATAGCTATTACCGATTTATCAGCAAATACCGCGATAAAACTTAGTTTTTTCTATTTTTAAATATGATATTAAGGGCCTGTTGTTCTACGATGGCCGAGAAGGGCCACGACTGTAAACACTCGCCGTTTTTTTTTACCATTACACTCGTCGTTTTTTTCCCTTCACAATTACACTCGCCGTTTTTTTCTTCAGAATTACACGCGACGTTTTTTTCAGTTATGATGCAATAATTACACGCGACGTTTTTTCAATGCAATATTACACGCGACGTTTTTTCAATGCAATAATTACACGCGACGTTTTTCCCAAAAATTACACTCGCCGTTTTTTTAGAGTTACGTTTTAAACTGAGGGTTTCACTTCGGACGAAGATGGGAGCAATCATTTAAGGTTATGTGTGTTTCATCAAAACTAAAAATCATGTAAATACATGGGTACAAAATTTCACTTTTCAGTCAGTTAATTATGAATATATACTGTAATGCATTGTTTTCTTTTGTGTTTTCCAAACTATATAAACAAAAGCTTTGTGTGTTTTGAAAACAATGCATTAATCATTGATTCATAACCGACTGAAAGTGAAATTTCATGGCCAGAAATCACGGACATGATTATTCTACCTTACTAACTTTGCATATCCGATTTAATACATAACCCATTGAAATTTGGTTCGATAGTAAACAGTTGATTCTATTACGCGATGCTTCAAATCGCAAAATCAGAGATTATTGGTAGTCGTTTGCAGTTTGCCTCGATTGCTGGTTGCAGAACACGGTATATCGTGTAGTGTTTGCCTGGTGTAAGTTACTTCCTATTCTGCATTTTCGTTTGTTTCTGGTGGCTATAGACAGTGCGGTATCATTATATATAAAATATAAATAGACAAATGCCGTACAAACTAATTTGAAACTAACCTCCGTACAAAAACTGAAAATGCAGAATGGTCACTAACTAAAACCAAGTGGCAAAATTACGCTAACTACTTCGACGTACAGACTTGATTTATAGCCAGCGACTGAAGCAAGCTACAAACGACCTACCATATTCTCGGATTTTGGGATTTACAGCATCGCGTAATCAATAATTTACTGTTTACTGCAGAAGCCATATTTCAGCGTGATATGCAAATTTGATGTCTGGCCACATGTGTACTGTATTTACATGAGTTTTAGTTTTGATGAAACACACATAACCTTAAATGATTGCTCCCATCTTCGTCCGAAGTGAAACCCTCAGTTTAAAACGTAACTCTAAAAAAACGGCGAGTGTAATTTTTGGGAAAAACGTCGCGTGTAATTATTGCATTGAAAAAACGTCGCGTGTAATTATTGCATTGAAAAAACGTCGCGTGTAATATTGCATTGAAAAAACGTCGCGTGTAATTATTGCATCATAACTGAAAAAAACGTCGCGTGTAATTCTGAAGAAAAAAACGGCGAGTGTAATTTTGAAGGGAAAAAAACGACGAGTGTAATTTTGAAGGGAAAAAAACGACGAGTGTAATGGTAAAAAAAAACGGCGAGTGTTTACAGTCATGGCCCTTCTACCCTGGATTCCAGAGCCTTCGACAGTAAATAATAAATTGAAATGTCGCGAAGGCTCTGGTTCAACGGGGCGATTCTTTGATTAGGCCGCGCCAATCACAAAACAGAATTAGTGGTTTTAGTACAGAATCTGTACTAAAACCACTAATTCTGTTTCGTGATTGGCGCGGTTTAATCAAAGAATCGCCCCGTTGAACCAGAGCCTTCACGACATTTCAATTTATTATTTACTGTCGAAGGCTCTGGAATCCAGGGTAAGCAAGATCTCGATACAGCATTAAATCGAGTATCAAACATTTACCCAACAGAAAGTGAAACAGTACACTGAAAGGAAGACTTTAAATTGGTGTTTAAGGTGGCTCAATATAAGGTTTTTCAAAACCTGGAAAATTCAGATAACAAAATGACATCGGTGCACGTAACCCCCAATTAATTTAACATTAATTTCATAAAATGATTTTCTTAGGACGTGAACTCAGTTAGCTTGACAAATGTTAAAATTTTGTAAGCGAAAACAAAAATATTCTGGAATTTGAAATATTTTAGCTCAACGGATTTTTTTTATTGTCAAATTAATAAAGCAAAATAAAGGAAATTATTTTATGAAATATAATTTGGCGATCGCCGGTCGCCGGTGTCAAGTTAAATAACTTAAAAGCCAAACTATCCGCCTTATACAAATGATATTGTTACTTGAAAACGACTATTTTGTAATATTTTCGAAAAATTCATTACATTTTGTTTTAAATAAGTGTTTTAACATGTAACATGCACTTGTACAAAAGTACGGTTTTGAATGGAAAATCTTCCATTTTTACAAAACTGTATCGAGCAACCTTAAGTTTGGACATACAAACCTAGGGATATAGCCGGTGGTAAGGTTTAAGATCCGTTCATGTGGCTTTCAACAGATGTCATTAAAGAAAACCCAACATTGTTCGTGAATAATATTTCCAAACAGGACACTAAAAACGTTAGAAATAAGAATTAAAATACATACAATTACATAAATACTGCATATTTAATTTATATAGATATCACTCCATGTGAATTTGAGCATAATGTTGCTTCCACCAGCGAAAAATGTGAGATTGGTTTGTTTGTCCCTCAGTGTCAAAAAAATGGTAATTTTGCTCCTAAGCAGTGCTGGGCATCCACTGGTTTCTGTTGCTGTGTGGATCCCATAACTGGAAAAATGACAACCAATTGGACAAGAGAGGCACTTGTGTGCCCATTGACAGGTAGGGGTAGTAGGCTAATTGAGTTACTATAGCTGACTTTATTAACTAATAACACAAAATCCTAAAATACAAGTTTTTATATTACACGGCCGCCATCTTGTTAACCTTATCCCTAATTGTCCATTATCACTTATGCTATCCCTATAAGTACACAGTAACATCCCCCCTGTTTACAAAGCTTCTTTGTCTCTTGTATTATTTTTTTTAATGTTTTTTCGTCTTTAACAAAAATGTTTAACTTAAATAATTATCCTATCAAAGCTCCAATAAATTAACCTGAAGGATCAAAGATCTTAGGTGATCTAACTACTCTTCCAAATCTTGTTTTATACAATGTACCCCAGCTAGATCATTCATTATAATCATCACCTGAAAAATTGAACTCCTTATTAGAAGAAGTCGGTTCTTTACTAAGTACTTGTGACTGCCCTTGCGTCTCAGGGGCTGCAGACTGACTGTTCGACAATTGAAGATTACCTGGATCTTCTAGCATCTTCATCTTGAGCTTGATATCATCATTCATTTTCACCTGAGGTGAAGGAAGCGCAGCTTGGCGTATTTGTGCTCGATTTCTTCGCACAGTACCATTTGAAGTACTTATTACATATGGCCTTGACGTGGGCTTCCTCACGACTTGACCGTACTGCCATGGAAGTGATCTATTACGAGGGCATGGCTTTCTGTAGACATAGTTTTTAATTGGTACATTCGGATGTTCATTCCCAGCCTTCCTGTCATAAAACTTCTTCGCCTTCCCTCTTTTAAGACTGATTTCTGACTGTACCAACTTTGACACAACTTTATCAGGCCCAAGCATCTAGTCCTGCAACCCATACTCCTCTGTGCTGGACTTGGTGAATGTCCCTCCTGTGGGGTGTTTCTATAAGTAAGAAGAGCCAATTGGAGGTCAGCACATTTTTTCATAAACGTTTTCACTATCTTTACTGCCGATTCCGCCTTTCCATTATCGCTTGGCCAATATGGTGACGATGTTATATGTGTTATTCCATAAAGGTCACAAAACGCAGCAAATTCCGTACTAACATATTGCGGTCCATTGTCTGAAAGAAACACCTCCGGGATACCATGACGAGCAAAATGTGAGTGTTTAATAACGATTGATGATAATGTGTTATCCAACTCGTCAAGTTCAATAAAGTCAGAATAATGATCAACTGTAACCAGATAACTAGTTGATTCAAACTGAAATATATTCTGACTTACAAATTGCCACGGATATTGTGGGATAGGTTGTGACTTCATGGGCTCTCTTGTATTTTCTCTTCCAAATTGGAGCACATTATCCACAACTTTGACACATATCTTTAATTTCAGGTTGCATTTCAGGCCAGTAAACAATATCCTTCGCCATTCGTATGTTACTTTCTGGGCTTGCATGCGATGTGTGAATCTTTGTCAGCATCTCTTTGCGCAAAGACTTTGGGATAACAGCTTGAATACCACGATAAATTACACCATTGTGAACAGACATTTCATCACGAAAACACAAGTATGGCTTAACACAGCTTGGGAGGGGAGACTTTATATGGGGCCACTCTGACAAAATCACCTTCAACAGCTGAGCTAAATCGGGATCTTTCGCTGTTGCAGCCTGAAGACTTATGGTCGTCTTTGGTAGAAGCTGTGGATTTGCTAAGGCATCAAATCGTTCAACTTCCAGTCTAAACACATCAAAATTGTTCTGTTTTCTATTGTCTACACTAGAGAGTGGTGCTTTAGACAACGTATTTGCCAACACTAAACTAGATCCTTTATTATAAACTACGTTAATGCTGTATCTCTGTAATCTCATCATCAATCGCTGCAGTCTCCTTGCCGTTTTGGAAAGTGTTTTTTTTTAAATATTGTCTCGAGGGACTGATGATCTGTGTGGACTGTTATTTGTTTACCATAACCACAAATCCCACTTTTCACACGCAGCACAGATGGCTAGAGTTTCTTTCTTTATTTGTGCCAACATAATTTCATTTGGACGCATGGTGGACGAGGTAAACGCCACTGTTTGAAGCTTGCCTTGAACTGTGGGTTAAAGCATTGCTCCACCAAGACTAGTTTCCGACGCATCAACTTGAAGCACAAGTTTACTGGGATCAAAGTACGCCAGACAAGGTGCATTTGCAGTCAATTCCTTAGCTTTTTTAAATGCCTTCTCGTGTACTTCTTGACCATACAAATTGTATGTCAGATTTGATCAAATTCTGCAAAGAATGAACTACATCTGAAATGCGGGACAAAAAGTATGCAAATAATTGACCATGCCAAGAAACCTCTGAACTGAGCGTTTATCGTTAGGAATAGGCATCTCAATAATAGATTCCACTTTACCTTGGTCGGGTAAAACACCATCTTCTGTTATAACATGACCCATAAATCTAATTTTTCTCAGCTTAAACTGAACTTTGCTAGGATTAAGCTTCAGGTTCCTTTGTAAAACTCTCTTCATAAAATAATTGAGGTGTTTATCATGAGCAGCCTCAGCTTCTTCTGGAGAACTCCCAAGACCATATATCAGAACATCGTCTGCGATGTTGAAAACCCCTTCTAAACCATCTAATGCTTCATGTATTCGTTGTTGGAATTCTTCTGGTGCAGAAAATATATCATAAGACAAACGAAGCCACCTATAGCGTCCCTAAGGGGTTTGCATTGTGGTTGTGAAACTTGACTTTTCATCCAGTTGTACTTGGGTGAAACCGTCTAGTGCGTCAACTATAGTAAAACATTTATATGTTTTTGGGTTTAGTTTAGGCAGAAGTTCTTGTAAAGTTGGGATTGTGTATTTAGGTCTAACAATGGCTTTGCATGCACAGGGGGAACTTTAGGATCAAGTTCAAATAAAACAGGCTTCCCCAAATTCCCAAGGCCAGAAAAGGATTCAGAATAATTTGCCACAAATTCATCTTTGGCAAAATTTCCGTTCGAGTCAGAGGACATGAAACAGTTGTCATCATTGTTTACAGAACAGCCAATATCAGTGGCTACAGCCGTTTTATTTTGGCTACTCATATGAACTCTGGATTTATCATACTTGATAAGTTCTAGCTTGATGGAGTCTGCAGCACCAAGCAAAGCTGGCTTATTTTTATATCCATATTATCAACAACTTGAAATGTAATGAATTCAAATTTCTTTGGTGCTTTACATAACAAAGTAACTGTTCCTAATGGCTTAATGGGATTGCCACAGTACGAAAATAATGTTGACCTTGCGGGCTTCAAGGCATTTACAGAACCAAATTTTAAGTACATATCAAGTGGCACTGTGTTACATGTTGCTGCAGTATGAACTTGAAAAGGAACACGTTTAAACTTGTTACTCTTATCGTACAATGATAGAGAAGTAAACAATTTCTTTGGGGATTTTCCTGATACATCATAAATAGATTCACACTGGGTGTCTAATGACAGTGCAAAATAGGTTAACTGCTCACCTTCATCAGTATCAGAGGAGTTATCTAAAGCATGAACTTGTCCTTTTACTTGCTTTTCATTCCGAGTTTTACCAAGCCACTGTCTTTTAAAATGATTAGGACTTCGACAGACAATATATTGCAAAGTGATTTGCCCCATAACAATTTCGGCAATACACTCCAGGCTTGCCAGCTGGACAGGTTCGTCTGTTATGGACTTCCTTGCCTCTACAATATCCACATATATGCACTTTCTTCAACCTTTGTTGGTCATTCCATCTTTTTGGTTATTGATATCTGCATGTATAATTCACCTGTTCATCAATATGTTGTAACTCCATTACTTTATTAATGACTTCAGCGAGAGTGACCACTCATGTAGGTACAAATAATCTATCATCCGAAAGCGTAGACTCATGTGTTCGAAAAATACAAAAGCTGGCTTTGAAGACTCGCAGAAAATTTCAAAATTCAAAGATTGGCATCTCCAGCATTATACATAGAGATGATATCAATGTGTCGGCAAAGTTATCTGCAGTCAATGGAAAGTTAAAGGAGATGGCTAACAATGATGACTTTGTTTTTATTGACAATTCGCGTATTGATGGAACATGCCTCAACGGCAGCAAACTACATTTGAACGCAAAGGGATCGGCTTATTTAGCCAATAATTTTATAAAATTTATTAGGCCATTGGGAAAACGAGCGAAGCTGCAAATGGGTTTTTTAAACCCAATACATCAGCTGGGACAACTACTAACCCAGCTAACAACCTAACCAACGACAATTCCACTATACAAGAAACCTCGCCGTTAGATGTTGGGAATGACAATTCAGGTAAAGCATGCCGTGGTCCAACAATGGGTGAGTTTGATTCTGCATTGCATTGCGTCGCTAGATTAAAAGGCCTAAAAATTGCTAGTATAAATGTCAATAGCTTATTGAAACACATTGAGGAAATTAGGCATCTGTTATTTAAATTTCCCTTCGATATTTTTGCTATTAATGAATCCAAAATAGATGATTCTGTAATGGATGGGGAAATAAGTATCCCTGGTTTTAACTTGATAAGAAAGGAC